GCTACTTGTGTTTCTGTCCTCCTCCTCCTCCTACTACTACTACTACTACGACGACTACTACCACTACTACCACTACTACCACTACTACCACTACCACTACTACTACCACTACCACTACCACTACCACAACCACAACAACAACAACAACAACTACTACTACTACTACTACGATTACTACTATTACTGCTACTGCTACTGCTACTGCTACTGCTACTGCTACTGCTACTGCTACTGCTACTGCTACTGCTACTCCTACTACTACTACTACTACTACTACTACTGCTCATGCTGCTGCTGCTACTACGACGACTAGGGGTCAGGCATTTAGGGCTTGGATTCAGGGTTATCGAAGCAAAAGGGGCAAACGAGGCTAGCCGTTTGCTTGAAGGCTAGGCCTTTTCTTGAACGTAGCGGTAGGAATCCTGAGCAACCCCGGCCCTAAACCTAAAAAGCCGTAAGGCCCTATTGAAGTAAACCTCTCTATAACAACCTGTGCAACCCTATAGACCTCGATAGCGCCATATTATAGAGCCATTTAACCCCAAAGGAACCGTGAAAGCAAGCCCTTAACGGAGCCCCAAAAGGAGCCCCAGAAGGAACCGGGGCTCAGGTGGGGAAGAAGGGCCACTCCATGCGCTTGGGGTTCTGCTCGCGGTCGAAAGACATCATCGAGCCTTACTTGAAGCCGCCGCTGGGCGTTCGTTGAAGGGGTTATGTTATTTGGGGTTAAGGTAGGGTTTAGGGGTTTAGGGTTTAAGGATGTAGGGATTTAGGGTTCTGTAAGGATCCCTTTAAGGGTTTCTCTTCCAGGGCTATTGTAACGGGCTGTTGTAAGAGTTGCAAGAAGGGTTCTTGGGGCTTTAGTTGTTTAGTGTATAGGGTCATAGTGTTTTGGGGGTTTGGGGTTTTGCGGTGTTGGGGTTGGTGCCGCTCTTATTCTTGTCATTTTGTTCTTGTTCTTTGTCACTGCTCTCTCTTTTTTCGTGTGCTCTCGTTGTTTAGTGTTTGTACATGTGCTAGAATTATGATTGGTTTGCAATTCTAGTCATAACCACGGTCATGAAAGGCGTTCTGGTTACCTACAAGTAATGCTTGTGTGCGATTATTTGTTGCTGCTTTTTGCTATTTCTTTAGCATCGCCGTCATCGACAAGCTCTTTGACTTTAACTTGTGTTTCACTGCTACGTCTTACGCTTCGTATCATTATCAGGTCTCCTATGAGCACAGAGGTTGTTATCGTTAGTGTCTTTGCCGTTTTTATGTAACGACTGCTGCCACACGATCGTCATCACGACGATGACGGAGAATCAACTGGTGTCGACTCGCAGCCGTCCGTTTCAAGAATCGCGATAAACACATTCCAAACATTCCAAGTCGTAGTACTGGAGCGATAAATCAACGTTCAGTAGGACCATTGCGCTGGTGTTTGTTTTGCTGGTTGCATGGGTTTCGAGGGGAAGATGTAGATGTGCTGTACGAAACCGTGATATTTGGAGTCATACAAAAAGCGGCCCTGGTGGGTCATTGCGGCGTAAGAAGTTAATGTCAACGGTACTTGAAGTGATCCTCGCACTAGTAGCGCTGACAGTAGAGTTCGTACTTCCAACAGAAGTGCTAGCAATATAACCTAAACCGTTGACTTTGCGAGCGTCCACGGCAGAGTCCACCTAGCAGGCCGAAAGTGATCATAAACCTTAAACATTCCACATGCCCTAAAACCTAAACCGTAAACCTACAGAGGCCCAAAGTCCTAAACCTTTAACCCTACGCCCTCAGTGCTGGTTAAGGCAGTGGTGGATGAACTGCCAGGATCTCGCAGATCGGAGTGTGAAGGCCTTGAGAGAAGGTGCGCCAAGCTGGGAAATTCCTACTTTCATGGTTGCCATAAGAATCAGTATAGTGGATGCAAAAACCTCTGCTACAGCAGTTACTATGAGGGGTACTGCCTGGTCTACTATAAGGGTTACTATATGTTACTATAAGAACTACTATAATTAGGGTCTTTTGGGGGCCGTTTGCCTGGGTGGAGGGTTTAGGCAGCGTCTGATGCACGAATGCTGTATACTTCCGCGGCGCTGTCCGCACGACAGTGCTAAACATCCTTGAGCCGTAGCCCTAAACCCTAAACCCTAAACCCTAAACCCTCCAGCCTGAATCCCGATCCCTCTCTCCTGCCCCTCTCAAGCAAAGCAGTGGATTTCCAGGTGAACTCAAGATTCTGCCGGAATTCCACCATCAGACGTGGTATCACTGGCTGGAGAACATCCAGGACACCATAAAAGTATCCCGATTACAGGCCCTTCAATCGACTTGGGTTCTTACCCACGCATTTTCTGACCAGTTGCTCGTCACACCCTCAAGACCCTAAACCCTATACGTAAAACGCCCAGACCCTACCCTCAAGACCCGAGCCCTAGGCTTTTGCACACAGGCTTTCCTGCACCATCAAAGTCAAGCGGGGAACCTAACATGATTCAAAAGCCGACGATGAGGCTCGTGTTGACGGTTATGATGATCGTCGACATCACGGCTTTGAGATAAGGTTTATGATCCCTAAACACTGAATCATGATGTGACGGTACTCCTGATGGGTTCCTGAAGCATGCTCCGCTGTCAGAGAGCCCAACACAGTTCAATTGAGCAGCGCAGGTCATCCGAAGACACCCCGCTTGTCGCCATGTATTCCTTCTCAGGAGTAGACTGGGCTTTCTGGGCTCTAAGACTCTAAGCCCTAGACTCTAAACCTGAAGCCCTACACTCTGAACCCTGAGCTCTCCACCCTAAGCTGGCAGAGGAGTGGTGCATTTCAAGGCAACTCTGGTGGGGCCACCGCATCCCTGCCTACAAGGTGGTGAAGCCCGCTCAGGCGCAAGTGGACTTCACGGGGTCTGTCAAAGTTTCTACCGGGTTCTTTGGGGATGCCGCTAAATCCTAAACCCTAAACCCTAAACACTAAACTAGGTTCTTTGATGATTCTGTACCGGCTGACTGAGGGTGCTATGATGCAGCTTTTCTTTTCAGCTTGGTTCAATAAAGGCATTGTCAGATGGGGTTTAAGGTTTAGGGTTCAAGGGGTTCCTAAATGCCACACTCCAGTCTGGATCCCTCAAGAAACTCAAGAAACCCCATGACAGCCCTCGCATCTGCACTGGAATCCCATTTGCAAGCCAAGGCTTCAGGGGAACCCGTAGAGGGACCCTATCCAAGCGCTGCAGAACCCAAAACAATCCTTAGCAGATCCGAAAAGAGCAAAGACACTGTCACACCAAACCCTCCGCCCCCAAAAGCGCTAACGCCAAGCCCTAAACATTGGAGTCCTACTATCTCAGCACGAAAGCCCCGCAACTCAAAACCCCTATGCCATTGTCGAACGCCCCCCCAAATCCAAAAACGCCACCAGCATGCTCCAAAATCCTAATCTAAGAGACTCTACGACGAACCCTTATAGTAGCCGGCATCTTACAGCCCTTCCAGACCCCAGAAACGGAACCCTTTGAAAAGAGCCCTATTCTAAGTATTAAGGCCTTTATCTTAGCGTCTTCCGTGTTGTCAACCACCCTGAACAACGCCTTTTCCGGACCTCTTCAATGGAGAAGCCCCCCGAAAGACCCCAAAAAGGAGCCCTAAAAGGAACCAACCCCCCCCTAAACCCAAAACCCTAAACCCAAAACCCAAAACCCTAAACCCTAAACCCTAAACCCTAAAACCCTAAAGCCCGAAACCCTAAAACCCTAAAGCCCTAAAGCCCAAGAGGCCGAGGAGAAATGGTTCACGGGCCGCAGCGCCCAGGAGGCCGCAGCCAAGGCCGAGAAGGCTCTCGGCACCAAGGCAGACCGGAGCGTCTAATGTAGGGGCCGAAATAAGATAGGGGGGTTAGGGTTTAGGGTTTAGGGTTTAGGGGTTTAGGGGTTTAGGCTCTAGGGTTTAGGGTTCAATAATTACCTATACTATTTTGGGGTTCGTTATTATGAATGAAAAAGGCTCCTGTGGTTCATATGAATGTCTGTATATGCACATGTGTACATTATAAAGGTATATATGATATGTGTACATATGTTTCTTTATAACTGTATTCACCTTTTAGAAGTGGTTTTCCTCCTTCTTGGTTTCTGGTTTCCATGTTTTATGAACCTGAACTCTTTTTTTAAGTGCAGGGCTTCGCGTTTTGTTGCTCGATGTTGTATGGGTGTCTGGAGCCGTATGTAAGAGTTTTATGAAGCCGTGTAGGTGCTTTAGGTTTCGAGGTTAGGCTTTCGAGGACTTTTTACGCAGTTTGAGGGTTTCGGGCGTCACTGGAGGGTTTTGGGGTTTTGATGCCTAGGGTTTTGGGATTCTGGGCTCCATGCCATAACTTTCGGGAGGACAGCTTTGGGTTGAAGGTTTTTTTTCAGGCTGCGCGGGTTGATGGCTACCTGCGTCCTATTTTAGGGGGGTCGGTAAGCAAAGGTACGTACTTGGACATTCGCGGGTAGTTATACGTGGTTCATGAGTAGGATAACTGTACCTATGGCCACTATTCGGTGATGTATGACCCCACCTATAACTGCTCAGGAACTCCAGGTACCTTGATTGATCTGTCCACTCGCAGCCCGGATGGTAGGAGGAAGGAGGGCTCCTGGGTGCACGTTGAGGGTTTTAGAATCCCGGCTTTTATGCCGGAACCCTCAACAGGGTGGAGAGGAGATGAGGGGCCGGAATACTTGTCAAGAGTACTCACTACTCCGTAGGGCATTACCCTAAACCCTAAACCCTAAACCCTAAACCCTATCACTCTGCAGGTGGAAGTGGAGCAGGACGAGGATGTGTTGGACACCTGGTTTTCCTCAGGCGCATGGGGACGTTCCGGTTTCCAGCTCCTGCTACAACCCCATCTGAACGGTGCAGCCCTGCAACGTAAACCCAAACCGCACTTTGAAGCACCCAGCAAACCTTAATTAGGGGTCGGAACAAGTACTAGCAATATTTGGTTATTGTCCCTAAGTTATAATATTTTGAATATTACTAACCCGAAGCCCTAAACCCTCAATCCTATTCTACTTCTTTAGGCCCCCATGTTGCATCAAGCGCTTACGGTAAGCCTTGAAGCCTGACCGCGAGCATCTCTCGGGCAATAGGCCTGAAAGGAAGAAGCCACCAAGAGGGTTTTGGGTTTAGGGTTTTAGGGTTTAGGGCTTCCGTTAGCGTTAGGGATGCTTCGGTCATTTACGGGTTCCTTTAGGGGTTCTGCATGGGTTTGGGAATGGGTGTAGGGTTGTACGGCTCTGGGTTTATATTGGGAGTCTGGTTCTCATCGGATCTTTTTAAGGGCTCCTTGAAACTTGCTAACGGCGTTTAATTACTAGGGTTTCCGGGTTCGGGTTCAATCTGATCTGTTACGGGGTTTGGCAGCGTGTGTTACAAGCTTTATTGGGCGTATATATCGGGTTATGTAGATATCTGCTTCACTTGAGACCGTAAGCATTTCTCTCTCAGCCCTTTAGCCGTAAGCCCCAAGTAAGCCCCACATCCTTTGCACCACTTTTCTTCCGACATGGCTAAGAAGTACTTACAAATCCCGCTCCCCGAGCTTAGGTAGACGGAAGGTGTCCCTAAACCCTAAACCACCCTAAACCCCTAAACCCCTAAACCCCTAAACCCCTAAACCCTAAACCCTAAACCCGATGTTTCCGGCAACGGAATCGGATCCCTCGAAGGCACAGACTTCACCCGGACATCGCTACAATGAAGATCTCCAAAGCAGCCTTTAGGTTTCAGGGTTCAGGGTTTAGGGTTTAGGGTTTAGGGGTTTAGGGTTTAGGGGTATAGGGTTCAGGGTTTAGGGGTTTAGGGTTCAGGGATTAGGGTTGAGGGTTTATGGATCTAAACCTTCAGCGCTCCAGCCAGCGATCCTCATCCCAAATCCCTGGCAGGTCTCTTCCCCTTCTCCGTCTTTGGCTGGCCCGACACCGAGAACAACGAGGACACCTCACACCACGGGGGTTCGGGTTTAGGGTTCCGGGTACAGAAACGCTATTCCCGAAGGTTCGACAGCTTACCGGTTATGAACCCCTCCCAGCCGTTGGTCCAATCGGTCCGAGCTCTATAGTACATCTATGTACATGCTAGGGCTTACATTTTTTTTTAGGGTTTGAGGTTGAGGGTTTGGGGCTTGGGGTCTAGGCTTTAGGCTTGAAGTTTGTGTTTAACTTATCTGCGTCGACACGCCTGGCCGGCCACGGCTTGCTGTGGAAGACCAAGAGCCTGTCACCAGGTATCAGTGACAACCACGACCATGAAAGCAGGAGCAACCACGGAATCTAAGACCTGCCAGCTGTTGTGATGCCAGTTGCTGCTGCGGCTGCTACTGCAGCTACTGCCGCGGCTGCTGCCGCTGCTGCTGCTGCTGCCGCTGCTGCTGCTGCTGCTGCTGCCGCTGCTTCCATCACCAATGCCCTTTCCGCCGCTGCAACACGACGACGGCTACGACTTCAAGCTCATAAGCAGCATTCACTGACACAACAACGAGAGTCATAGCTTGTGACTGTCAGCCTTAGACTGTAGGGCTTAAGGTTTAGGGCTTTAGGATTTATGGTTTAGAGTTGACGTTTGGGAATCGCGGATGCGATTAGGGTGCGTAGAGTGGAGCGCTTTAGGGTTTAGAAGCCCTGCAGGAAGCTGTATGCGAAGCCATAGTCTTTCGGACAAAAAGCTAGAACATCAGGGTGTACCATATTCACTGCGGCACGTATTGCTATCCATTCGTCAAAATGGCGCAAACCAACACACCTCAAGCTTTATACCACCCCTAAACCTAAACCCTAAACCTTAAACCCTAAACCCTAAACCCTAAACTCTAAACCCTAAACCCTAAACCCTAAACTCTAAACCCTAAACCCTAAACCCTAAGCCCTAAACCCTAAACCTAAACAGCCCTACG